CTTCAGCGGGTTTCAATCGATCCGGACAACGATGGAACAAGCTTCGATACGCGACGGTGAAAAATGGTTTTATCGTCCGTCGTTATTTGGCGATTAAATACGCCATTATGTCATTTCCACTCGATTAGGGAACGCGGAAAATTCATTTCGCGACAAGAATGTGCAATTTATGCGATAACGAACGGGGAACGATTAACGCGGTTCATTCAGATTCCTTTGTCGATCTTTGTTGTTCCGGTTTTTCTACTTGATTACTGGCGCAACAGGAAGAAGGTGAATTTCAGACAATGTCCGACAGATCGCAGAATGCCAGTAAATACGTGAAACGCGAGAATCACACCGTCAACCGCTTATCTTTTGAAAAAGCAAAGTGAAATCTCGCGCATAACTTCTTTACAACGATGTCGAATATATTGTTTGTCTGGTGTAACGTGAGCAAAACATTCCAAGAATCCCGGGGCTTCTTGGGTATTCGTAGTGTAAAGTCTCGGTCACTCTGCCGACTGATGCACGACCTCGCCATCAGGCACAAATTCAGCCCCGGAGCGGATCTGCATAACGTTCGATCGGTGCAAAGAATGCACGAGTGGCACGCGCGGGAGGGCATGCAGTTCGTGCCGACACTGGCCGCGCGGACACATAGAAGCGACGATCGTGTCGGGCGCAAAACACACGTAAGTGCCATGGTGGAGCCATACGAGGAGGAGAGAACGAGCCGAGAGGGGTTTACCGATCGGACGAAAAAGAGAAACACGGTATAAATGGAGACAGAGAGAGAGAGAGAGAGAGAGAGAGAGAGAGAGAGAGAGAGAGAGAGAGAGAGAGAGAGAGAGAGAGAGAGAGAGAGACGAGTAAGGAACGTTGGAGGATGCTCGACAAAGGCGCGCTACCCTCGTCAGCTAGTTTAAATCGTACATGAATAAATTCAATCCTATCACGGCCATGCTAATTTCATACAACAAGTACCTGTGGAAAGCTATATAACTATGCGTTTGGTGGGGGTATCTACATAACACGTAGCCGCTTACGCTTTAATCTAGAACGCGTGCAACGCGAACGGCGTAAACTTTGCATCGTCGCTTTCTGACTGTCGAGTGTTGTTGGCATCGAGATGCAGGATTCGAAACTCGCGCCGTAAAACTCTCTCTTTCTCTCGCTCTCTCTCTCTCTCTTTCTCGCAGCGTCGATTCGACTACTCTTCCTGTTCCTGCGACCCTCTCGAACGTGTCAACGTGTGAAAAGTTTTGGAATATCAGTTTTGCCAAGGCATGCGCTCGAAAGCTGAAACTTTGAATCGAGATGAGATTGACTGTATTCCGCGACACGGTGAACCAAACCGATCGCTCGCTCGTTCGCGAAAAAACGTATTCTAAAGTTCTTGCCACAGCGTGAATTTTATGACGTTTGGTCGCGTGACGGGATTTACTGGACCAGGTAATCTTGTAACGTCGTTAACGTGCAACTCATAAAAGGCAATTAAAATCGCAATTAAGCGTGATAGCGTTGACAATGGCAGATAATTGTGTATCAAAGCGTTTATTAATTGGCCCAATCTCACAGTCCAATTCTACAAGGTACTTCATAAAAGATAGTAAATCACTGCTTAATGCATATATATAGTGTAAAATGAACGTGCATTAATGTTAAGCAAATAATGAGCATTGTTCCGAACGTTGCCAGCGGTGGAGAAAAGTTCGTAATCAGCAGGTGAATTAGTACACAATTATCGGGATATATGATGCAGCGAGATAATATACAGAAAATGTGGAAACGCGGTCGTGATATTTGAAAGAAAAATAATCGCGAGCGATGCTCTCGGCATGTTTTGAAATATGTAATTCTTTTATCATGCGCGAACAATGGAGCCGGTACGTTTTGAAGAATTACGGTCGCTCGCACACGTCGATGATTTTTAAAGCCACTTCGTTAAAAATAGAATAAATGGTAATTACACGACGTCAGTTCTATTCATTCGAATTACATCAGTGCGCTCGCACTTGTCACGCAAAGCTTCGCCGAACATTCAGTTTGCGTAAATAATTTTAAATGAAGTTAAATATGAACGATTTTTGAATATATCGAAGTTGAAATCAATATTCCTGATTGAAATATTCAATACGTCACTATGTGTACTTGCGGGCGTTGAATTGGTAAATGCAATTACGAAAAATGAAAGACATTTACGTGATACGTTCGAATGATTAATATCGAAAAGTGAATGTTATTCTATAAAAGTATTTACGCGATATTAAATTATAGCGAGAAAGAAGATAGCTGAATAAATGATTTTTCAATTAGTACGTTTAAAATTCCTCGAAGGGCAAAAATTTATGACGATAATTTCTCGACCGTTTTTTCGCTTTTTATGATCGACCGATCAGTTGACCAACCAATTTAAAACCAAAAGCAATTTTTTATTTAATTATCTTGTTTCATCGACGCTCTAACGAACCAAACAGGTGCAAGTTGATGTTCAATATTAATTGCATGCAAATGCAAAGTTAATGTAGCGACATCGTCTTAATTACCCGCCACACATTTCGCAATCGCTCTGAGTGACTCCGCTTGTATTCACTTTTTCATTCCTTTTAAGCTGTTTCCACGAGTAATTTATCACGCACGATTCAGTTATGGCTCTCGATTGAATACTTGCGATTCAGCGTAAGCTGTAGCAACTTTAGAATTCCGATAAATTAATTGACGAATCTTGTTAAATGACATTCTTCGTATCGTAAACGTTGATAACGAACGACACGGCCACTCAAGAATGATAAACATAAACATTTTGCGGAAAAATAAAGTTGTAACGCGGTGGAGATATTTATCGTAACTTGTGTACAAAGAAAAGAGCTTTTAAGCACAGACTCGTGTCACATATGATTCATCTCCGCGGTAACCTTTTTTTTTTTTTTTTTTTTTTTTTTTTTTTTTTGTTGCTTTTTACGATGGAGAGATACACGTACGAGATTTAAAAAAAAGGGAAAAAGTACTGTTTTTCTGAATTGGCATATCGTAGCGACACTTCAGAGTCATTAAGCATGGATATAAATAGCATATACTACACATGTACGGAGATGGAAGTGAAACAGTCGATCAGTCTGGTAACGTACATATTTGTTGAAAACGTAGACTGTAGACAGCCGGCTTCGCAGACAGGCCAAATGGAAAGTGTAAGTAGAGGGGAAAGCGCGCACTATTGTTCCACCCTCTTTCCCGGGTTTCAGAAACGTTCACAGCAAGTGCATTTTGTTGTGTGCTCAGAAATCTGTTATTCAATTTGAAATGGCTTTATCGCGCGTCTGAAACCAACCCCAGATTTCGCATTGATGCCAAACTACATGGACTATGAAATCTCTTCCCAACAGGCGCACATGCGTGGCTCTGCATGCGGCATGCAGTCTGGCTTCTCTCTGTACATTTACGTGAACTACCACCGGCAAAATCGAGTGCTCGCAAGTTCCTGCCCGATCCGATACTTTCCGTATATTCGTTTGGGCATATCCATGCGGAAACGAAAGCGATCGCAAACTAAAACAGATATGCAATGGCGTGGTGTACGTTGCCAGCGATAAAATGATTAAACAAGAAATTTTCCACTAGCAGTGCTCGCGTACCGCGTAAACATCCAGTTTCTACATTGTAATGTAGTTGTTTATCCAATGGGAAAATTCGTGTAACGTATGTAACGAGATGGAAGAGGGCAAGAGAAATCATACACAATAATTGTTATCGACATTCTTTTTTTGCTGAATGCAACGTTTTCAATCGAGAAACGATAATGCATTTCAATTTCCACGTGCGCTAATGTTATTCTTTTCAATTAAATCATCCCGCACAGCCAGGAAATTAATAAGCAGGACAAAGGGCCATTGTTAAATATAAATCCAGCTCGTTCGACGATTCAGGTGATCGCGGATTGTAACAAGATGGACGTAGAGCAAGATCGCGAGAGAATAATAGCAGTTTCGTCATTAAACGTTTAAACTCGAGATCTCGGATCAGCGTCTGCCAATTAGAGCAAGAGCAAGGTCGAGACGGCGTTGTGAATTCCGCGTTTGCTGTCCGCGTGCTACTCAACCATGGTAATACTCAACGACGAGAAGGAAAACGAGTCTGGTCTCCTACTGGTATACCTGTTGTTCTTCAGTTAAATTGAGCCACCTGAGAGGCAAGCTCTTAATGTACTTGTCGCGAGCTTTGAGCTATCCACGGGTTTGTATCTTACTCCTTTGTGTTATTTTATCGCATCGCGAGCGGATTTTATAGCGAATAATTACAGGAAAGTCTCGTGGATAGAAAATATTTTAAACGGGTTGCACTTGAGACACGAACAAAAAAAAAAACAAAAAAAAAATGCTTTCTCTCTGATTTTTATGTCATTTCAAAATGTTTTATAAAACGTGCTCTCGATCGAAGATAATGCATTTTATAACGTGAAAATGTGCGCAAAATAGAAAAAAACGTCGAGCAATATTATTGAACGAATATACGACATGACAGTGTATAAAACGCGTCATTTGAAAATAAACGCTCAGGGAAAACGAGTTACAGAGAAATTTGAATACTCAAATGTATAGACAACGATTGGGAATGTTGTTCGATTGCCCGCCAAAAGTTAATGGGAGTGAGCAGCGTGACGACAGCGCCGCGCTCCGTCAATTATACAACTCATTCAAGGATATTTGCGAAATATGGTTAGAAACAGATGAAAGTCGGTAAAAAGAATCGGTATGCGTCTGAACGAAAACCGTTTGAAAATCAAAATTCTCTGTGACTTGTTTCTAGTTACAGTTGTTCCCCGAATGAGAATTCAATATCGAGGGATACCAGGCGATATTCGTAGCGAGAGAAAGAAAGAAAGAAGGAAAGAAAGAAAGAAAGAAAGAGAGAGAGAGAGAGAGAGAGAGAGAGAGAGAGAGAGAGAGAGAGAACAGAAAAAGAAAGATGGCGAACAAAATCGTAAAATACAACGCGAGTACAAACGTAGAAATGGTACTCACAGACAGGCTCGGGCGTAGAGGTGCGCGCAGTGGAGATTCAGACAGGAAGGCAGAGGTGGGTTCTCCTCTCAGGTTCGCAGGTACGTGCACGTAGGTATACGCGCACTCGATTGGCGTCGACCGGCGTCCCGGGAGGGGCGCGACGCCAGCCAAGAACGAACGTTGATACTAAACCGCGGGCCGAGCTGCTCCGAACGACAGTTCAACGAGCGTGTGTTCCGAGGCCGGATCACGGTGGCCCATACGACCGATTCGCGTTTCAATTTCGACGATTACTCACGAGACCGCGTGTATAGTTCGCGAAACTGTCAGTCAGTGTTGTTCGCTGGTCGATACGACGCTACGATGCGTTTCACGCGCGAAATCAATCCCAACTGAGAAGTATCGAATCGCAATTTCGAGATTATCCGCCATAATCGAGAATCGATATTTACAATAATCCGGCCCCCGATGGTTTCGCATTGCCTATCGATAAGTGCGATACAATATGGTGGACTAGAATCGCGTGCGATGATAACGCGGAAATTTCACCTATCTAGAATATCGATCGAGTCGATCCGTGTACGAGCCAGAGCCAGTGTGCACGTGAATCCCTCTAATTGGAACGGCGTGTTGTCGTGGTAGAATACTTTGCAAGGAGTGTCGCCGGGGCGAAATTGTCTTCTGGAATTGATCGGAGCATGATTAGTAACTAATTTTGATGACAACGGGTTTGTGACACGGCTACAGTGCGCGCATACATATACGTCTGCGTATACATGTGTATAACCGTGTACGTGTGTGTGTGTTTACATTGAATCAGTGCTCGTTGGCAACATCATGATCCGTCGACGTGAGTGCGTTCGAGTACTCTGGAGTGCTACCGAGGGTGTTTCTAGTGCGAGCTTCGGGGTTGCCGTCTGCGTGTGGGTTTCGAGATGCGTCGTGCGGTGCATCAGCCACGAGTAACTGCAATTGGAGGCCGGTCTGCCCGTATATATACCGGTAACTTGGCCACGAGTAAGCGTAGTGTGCCGACTAACCGCTGGAGTAATTAATCCGACGTATGTGCGGACAGACATCCTCGTTTCTCTACGCAGAGTCAATCACTGACATCGATTCAGAATTCAGGCTTTCGTCGTTTGATTACTGCCTTGAAAGATTAGAATCTTGATTGGAATTCGCCTGATACGCAGAGGATAATGATAATTGATCGAAAGATAACTGAATGGTACAAATGACAGAATCAAGATTATTCACTGGATAATATACGTGAAAACTACCGATAATATCAAATGTAGAAAATATATATGTACACGTGTGAAGTGCTATTCACGAACATTGCCCGAATTTTTTCACACGTAGCCAGCACTCTCGGCTATGTAGCTACGAGAAATGTCAACATTGTTAGATTAGCAAAGATTCATCCTGTATCGCGTGTCGATTAAAAAGCTAATTAAAAAAGAGAAACACACGTTTCACCGGTATTGGCACACGCGTCAATATCGACACAGCACAGTTACGAATCAATGGTCCGTGTTGATAAACATTCTCCACTATTACGACGCGCACCAGCACGGACGTCTTTTTCAGTGACTGACCGACTGATCATCGACCGCGTGCCTGCCATACCACTTGACGTTAGCTACTTATCGCAATCGAGTCGAGGTATCGTATCGAAGAATAGAGCCAGTAGTACATCATGTGCGTCGTTTAAGTGACACGTTCGAAACAAGTGTACGTACGCGGAAGTAATTGGATCGGTTTAACGAAATATTTCAATCCGTCGAGATTGTGCAGTGTTTTTATCGCAGCGGCAGGGCTGCCGCGTCACGTGGCCCCTCGGGCCAGGGAAAAGGACACTCTGCATTGACTTTTCGTTAAGTTAATTAACCAGGAGAGCAGCCGTTCATCGGCGTCCATATTTAAATGCTGGTGAGCGTGTATCTTGACGGGCAAAGTAAATGAACGACGCCGATTACCCGAATAGATAATTAATCAAGCGAATCAGGGATCAAGCGAAAGGAAGGCATTCGTTCTGCACGACCAATCATCGGCCCCGATGTCCTGATCACCTTATAGTGCATACATCATTCGGCACGATTCGAGTGGAACGTCTTAATTAATAATCACGCGAACCCATTGAAATTCGTGTGCAGTTTCGCATATTAAGAAGGGCAATTAAAGGGAGAAGAAGCAGGAGGGGGAGAAGCGTTGAGAAAGGAACAGAAACGGACCGTAGCAATTGCGAGTGGACTTGGTCGGCGGCCTCATCGTCTACTTTTTACCTCGTTTTACGAACACCGAAAAACAGTTCTCACGCCGCACGCGAGAGGGACCTTAGACACGCACGCACGCACTCACGCACCCCTTCGAGGGTAGAACATAAGCAAGAGCAAAGAGGCCCTGTGCCCTCAGTCAACTCGATTTTTTTCATGGTTTTTTCGATCCTGTCCAGTGGCCAGTTTCGCCGTCCGTTCCGTAGAATTGCTGCACACCGATCGAAGGTGAGTTGAATTCCAATCAATCTATCCTTTATATTTTATTATCTTTCGTTCCGTTCTATCGCGTATCACGCGTCTGCTGCGAATTGAACAATGACAATTCGGATCAATATTTGCAGCGCGACGACGACAACGACAACGACAACGACATTCGGTCATGTGTTTATTTTATGTTTTTACATAACACAGCTGGCGTTACTACGCGAGAAGATCGTTTCCCGAAATTTCTCGAAAACAAACGCGTACTCTACTTGACCCTGTTTAGGAATTACGATCGTTTCTCTGCTTCGGTAATTCTTTTGATAAATTCTGTAGCTGTCGACTTGGTACATATGAAACCAGGGGAATATTGTTTCGATTGACAGTAGAATCCCGATGTGATCGAAACATGTGCGACACAAAAATAATTGTTGCACAAAATTGAGATCGCATAGGATATATTTTTGCATGCCCTCGAGCGATATTGGAGCACCGCGACACCAGTTGTATAAATTCGCCGTGGTTATTGCTATATTTTATTTCCATAGCAATTCGCAGACGGCGAACGGTATTAAATAATATTTTCTAAATAATACTTGCAAATAGTCCGCGTTCTAGATAACTGGCGAATCGTGTCGATCGAAAGAATGAAAATAATAAATTTCGTTTTGATATCGGAGCGTAAAAAGTAAGGGAACGTGCGCGCGTACATCTAGACGGCGAAAACGCTCGAGTTTTCAGGTATGTATTACGTATAGACGTATCGTCGTTGACGAAGAGCTGCAATAGCTTTTGTGCCTGTATAAGAGCTTCGTCTCCGCTCGTGCTGCACTATGTCGTGAAAGACGTGTGTTCGTGTCTGTCGCCAGCAAATCCTTGAAATCGAATTTTCCGAGACGAGGGTCCTCCTGGGGATGGAAAAGAGGGAAGGGATGGAAGAGGGAGACAGAGTGCCGGACCGGCGAGCGCGAGCGGGAGAAAATTCGTGCGTCAGTTCGGTCGGGACGAAAGAAGAAAGTAGTTGCACCGAGTGAACGTGCCGATTTCGCGTGTCGGCGTTTCCGTGCAATTTAGTCGCATACGATTTATGAAATTGCGAGTGTAGCCACCGTGCGGGGTTATAGTACTGAAGAGCACTGGCTTTTTATTGTTCAAATTTCTTCGCGTCTAAGAATGCAGAAATGCTACATCAGTGGTCTGCTATTCGAACTACGCTTGAGAGATAGAATATAAACGCTTATCTATCGCACATGAATCTACAAAAAATTTGCGCTGTTGACCTTTATAGAGTATCGATACTCTTTCGTACAAATTCTAGTTAGCATTTCGAAATTATATTTGCGCGATATTGTTATGTGATCGTCGGCAAACGTTCGCCATGCACAGTGGAATAACCGAAGCATATCGAGATTAATTTATGCAATCAGGCACTCGAAGGATGGAAAGGTTCGCGCAGAAATGGAAAAATCAAATCGTACGAGAGCGTATCGACAATTGTCGAGCATTGTCTCTAGCCAAAGCTGCGAAATATAATATATCTCTACGAAGTAGCATGCGAGTCGACACGTCCATTAGAGGCGAGAACGTTTAACAGAAATTGTGTGACGTTTCGCATGGGCATTGTATACGGCGGACAAGCGTAGGTATGCCCAAATAAATAGACCGTGTTACATAAAGAGCCCTTGTTTAAATTATATCCACGAAGGTATTGCGCTTGTTCTGCCGCGCGGGGGAGACAAAATTGCGCCATTTTCCGGAACAAATGGTTCCTACGTACGGAAGCAATACGCCAACCGTACAAAATTATAACGGATATATCACAACTTTCACCCGTGCCTGAACTTGTACATGTAATGCGTGCATATACACCTTGGTCTTTTACCTTGAATGATTCATGGCGCGAACGTAGGAAGAAAATTATCGAACGCCGAGACATGGATCGTTTCCACGAGTTGGTCGCGACTTGGAAAACATCATGCATGTCAATTACCGATCTAACCATGCTACTACAACTTGAGTTTACAATACGCAAAGGTGAATTTATTTTAGATTCAGTAATTTTACTCCAGATTTATTTCACGCGGCGAATTCGTTTATCTGGCACGAACGAAGTTACACTTTGAAAGACCTCTGAACAGAAATTTTCATGTAGACGAGATATCGATTGAGAACGACAAACAACAAGTACCTACGCTACATTCAAGTTGCTTTGTTTTTTTTTTTTTATTTTACACTGGATGGATCGTCGTTTACAAACGATTCCGCGCGAAACGAGACGACGCTGATGGAAAAATTTACGAATTGATTCGATGCTTTCGCCCGGCGTGAGCGATCGCTGGCTGTAGCTAATGATACTCGTCAAAAGAAAGACGTCGATGAAAAAAAAGAGAGACGCAACGAACGCGATACACGGAGCCAACAATGAAACGGTACGCCTGCCGGTGTTAAACGCGGATCCACAAGCGGCCCGAGTGGCTGTACTTTCAAGAAGCGATGCGTCTCTTCGAAACGTACAAACTGGTTTTGGGATACTTCTCTCTCGTGCTCGCCTCATTCTCTTTCTCACATTGCAACTCCCTTGAGGAGGAGAGTCGATCAAGCTTCTCTCTGGTGCGTTTCGGAGCCTCTCGTCTTATTTCCGAGGTTCTATCTCGACGAAAAATCTATGTCAACCAACATGTTGACACGTGTTTAAACGTAGACCGCTGGCGTTCGCGCGAGCACACGTAAAATCAGGCACACGTTGGAGCAGAAGGTAGAGGAAAGTGGTAGAGGAAGCAACGGAGCAGGGGAAAGAGCCGGAGGAAAGAGAAGGACGGAGGCGAGAGGAAAGGTAGACAGACGTGGCGGAAGAAGAAAGAGAGGGTGGGCGCCGAGTTGGAAGTCGACTTACTGGTATGCAGTGTCGGATTTCGCCTTGTCCGTCGGAAGAACGCGCTAGACGAAGAAGAGAACGGAACGGCGGTGTACACCTCCGAGAGGAGCGGAGAAACACACCTCAAGGTGTGCACACACGCACACACGTGTAACACGCATGCTCGGGTTACACCCTTCTCATGAATCAAAACTATTCGAGACTCGGAGAAAGAGATACGGAACGGAGCGCGCGAAAACGAGGCCGAAAGGGAAACAGAAAAATGTGAAAGAGACTGGGTAGAAAAAGGAAGAGGCAGTACAGAAAGAGTAGGTGGAGGAGAAGGAGAAAGACGAACGAGGACATACGTGTTTGCTTACAATAAACGGGAGGTCGTGTCGCGGTAGCTCTCACGCGTTCCCTTGATCCAAGATATAAATTTAATTTTATTATGACGTGAACCGTCCGACGCTGCCGCTGCTATCTTCGAATTGTTCTTATGCTCCCTGCAGAGGCGATCGTGCGCGAGCGAGACAACCGCGACGGCTCTCCTCCTCCTCTAGCCGAGAATGGCCTATTTCGCTGTGATGCACGGTGACCTTTCGAAATAAAAGAGGTTCGAGGGAGAAGGTGTAATTGAGATAAAGGCGATCGATCGATACTAAAAATAATATAAATAGATAATAGATTCTTACTCGCGGTGCCATGCGAACCGTGCACTCCGTTTTGCGATTTCCAAAGAGGTATATAATCAGAGATGGGACTAGGGATTATTGTTCTTCTCCATCCGGCAGGCTTACTCTATGAAATCTATGAAACCGGTCGTGATCGGGAATCGTGACAGATAGATATGCACGCCAAGGTTTTCTTAGAGAAATAAATGTTGCACAGATAGGCGAAAGGACGAACACGAAACTTGGCGACAGTTTAGTTTCACTTCTCCGTTATGTCCGATATGTTGAGATTTTCATACGATTAAGAAGCTTTAACGATCCTTTCCCTTTAACATCCAAATCATTTTTACCACTTACGTACAATGGATATTATTTCTCAAGACTGAGCAGGAAAGGTCTCTAACTTTCTCGCAAATGCTTATTTCCTATGTACGTATATCTGAAGAGCTATTAATAATTCTGAGTAAGTAGGTGGTAATTGCATTGTGATTTAGAAATAATCTTTCATCTATCCTTTCACTGGAAGCGTCGATCGTATGATCGGTGACGCGTGTAATTTGAAAAGGTACGCAAGTGAAACTCTCGCGTACCTTTTCATCGTAAAATGGAAAAACGAACAAGATGCGCGCAGCTTCTTTGGACGTAGTTGAACATTACTTTAATTAAAAAGCTTTAATTAGATCTCACGCAACAGTCTAGAAGTATAAAAACGTTTGATTTCGTTGGTTTCACGAACGCACCCCTTATCCGAGTACCTGCACACTACATCCGAGTGCATTAACGCCCGTGAAATATTTGCTCTGAAAGAAACGAGAATTGATTGCATTCCGATTTTTATCAAGATTGTCGATTAGTCGCGGCGTGATGCAACAGCATCATATCATTTCATGAATTTTATTACCTGTGTGGCAATGCTGGCGGAAAGTCGTATTACTGGAAAGGCGTAACAGCGCGCGAGATTATTGAAATGAAAATCGTCTCGGTGCGTTCCCATTCAGAGGGACGTGGGTATAGGAAGAGAGGTCACTACGCTGGCTGGTAACTAGATACTTGAGAAGTCCTCATTATAATAATTCCGCGAGTGTAACAGTCGCGCCTCGTGAACCGATATTAAAAAGGCATTGTCGTCGGGCGTATCGGTGAATCACTCCTACGTATCCGTCGAACAATGCGACGTCGGCATTATTAGCATTTTGCTCGATCCCAATGCAATTCAGTTGGATTCTATTGATCCGTGGAAAATACTTTCGCTCGACAACTTTCGCGGTTGACCCCGCCGACGTTGCAATACCGATGTAATTAACTCTTTCTCAGGAATTTCATTGGACTTCCTCTCTTAGCGGCACGCTAAGAACCACTGGCAGATTTTATACGCGTCCATCCGCCATTTTTCACTCGTTAACGTAATGAAAACTGGTTGCTCCTTAACGCTGGAGTTTGTCCAATTAAAGGTTTCGAGAGCGTCTGCTCAACGAACAACGTTTTGTTTTCCAGCC